GGTTGACGAAGGGGTTCACGGTAAGGGGGACTTGTTGGAGGTAGGGATGAGATGCTGGGGGGTAGTTAGTTGATGGTCTTGGCATGGCTGGGGGAGTGGTGGTCTTACGGTGGTCATGCATTGTGATTGGTTTGTGATTTGTGGTAATGAGAAGGGAGCAATTGGAGTTTGGTAGTCCAATTGAAGAGCGGGTTGGAGCAACGTGGAAGGAATGAGGTTTGAAGATGACGATGTGGTGTTTGAGGGAGGAGGGAGGAGCGAGGAGCGAGGAGAGGTGGAAGATGGCAGGGGTTATGGCAGGCAACGATGACCCCAGGCCGACCGATAAGCCTGCGAGGCCCGATAAGAAGCTCGTCTCCACTAAAATTCCCCAGCTTCCTGCAACTTCCCCTCCACCCCCCGCCGTCGAGATCAACAGCTTTCAGGTCAACACTCAAACAAAACATTGCCGAAAATGACCTCTACAATCCGATCCCCGCCCGCCTTGAGCGACTACGTCCCCCTCGCCGAACACCAGGAAAAGACCCCTGAGACATTCCACGGCGGCAAGCCGGTACTGCATTACCATGCCACCGGCGCAAAGGCTTGGGTCCCGGCTTCACAGCGCGGTAGCCTGCCCATCTTCCCAGCCGACCTGTCGTCCGAGCCAACAGCCCCCGAAAACAGTGCCTTGAGCGGTTCCTCCGAGGAAATGGTGGAACAGAAAGTTGATATTTTTGTCAACACCGAGTACGACCTCTCCTTTTCCCAACCGCATTCTCCAAAGCTAACATCCACCCAGAACCCTCACCATCTACTGCCCTGCCGCCGAAACCGGTGTATCCATCACATACCCCCTGATCAGCATCCACGCCATCAAGACGCTCGGCTCCGGCGACCAAAAGTTCCCCGCCGTCTATCTCCAGCTCGACCTCTCCGATGGCGGTGCCGGCGACGACGATTTCGAGACAGTCGAGCTCACCCTCATCACCCCCCCAAAGACAGGCGGCGACGAGAGCAGCGATCAGAGCTTAGAGACCAAGAAGCTTTTCGAGGCCATCTCGGAGTGCTCCAACCTGAACCCGGATCCCGTTCAAGATGGAGACGACGAGGACGACGAGGACAGGATTGTATTCGAGGCCGACCACCAGGCTGTGGAGGGCTACAGTGCCATGTTTACGGGGGCAAGTGACGGTGGACTTCCTCCACCGATGCCGGGAAGCACGGGATGGATCACGGCGGAAAATGTCAACGATTTCTTCGATGCCGACGGGAATTGGATTGGTGGTGACGAGGAGGAGGGTGTCAGTGGGGAGCTGGGAGAGGGTGCTGGCACAGTTCACGGACGCGAGGAGGAGGGAGGGGAGACCGTCAACAAACAGGAGGCTGAGGAGTCGGGGGAGTCCAAGCGGCCGAGGAGAGACTGAAGCGGTATGACGACGTTTGGAGGAACAGCATGCGTATTAAGCGGTCGTTCTTGTCTGGAAACAAGCTCATCCCTGAGCCGAAGTTCTACCATCAAGTTGAATCCTTCGGTAACACAAGGATGTTTCTTGTCCGGTTCGGACACTCGTTTCTGCGCTGGATACTCGATGCTCATGACAACCCGGGGAACACACGTCCAACCTTCAATCCAACCCTCCCTTCATTTATTCACAGGTTCATTACCACCCAGCTTAGTAGGGACACGCACTTTGCTGTACAAGCACTTCATACCTTCCGGTTGCAGATGGCCCTGGAATTACCCGGCCAGGATACTTCAATCTGCGGCAGCTCAGATATTGGCGCGGCAGAAACAAGCTCTGTGGCGTCCCTTGGCCGATTGGCGAATAAAAGGGACGGAGCGGCCAAAAATGCCCGAGGATTCCGATATTGTCGACTTTGAACTACCGGTTCCCTCCAGAGGACGTGCTGCCTTCCCCACACTTCCAAGTCGTCCACCGAAGCCAAATTTAGAGCTGAATATGAGTAAAGGAACGGTTTAACTGGATGTGGTCATCTGGTTCCTCGGCAGTTCAGCCGGACCAGTCCGGGGTGCAGAAGGAAGTCACCGATTCGATTCGAATGCCGGGGTCTGTGTGAAATGGGCTACCATGGGATGTGGTATAACTTACAAGTCAAATGACCTGTTGAAGGGCGGTTTTGTCTCTTCCAAGCCCTGGAGACCCTAAGCAGGACTGACGCCTAAGAATCCGAGCATCGAGACCGCTTCGATATCATGGTTTCCTTCACGTCCCTCGCCGCCGCCCTCCTGGCAGCAGGCGCTGGTGTCATCTCCGCACCGGCGGCCACCTACTTCTGGTCATCCTGGACCGACGGAAAGGCCAAAATCACCCAGAACAACGGCCCCGATGGCAAGTTCAGCGTAAAGTGGTCCGGCGACAAGGGAAACTTTGTCCTCGGCAAGGGCTGGAGTACTGGGAGCAGCAGGTATCCGCCCCTTGACGTCCCTTGGGAGTCTCTCCAACTCACCAGTTGGTATTAACCCACGTCCAGAGAGGTAGTGTACTCGGGCACCTTCCTCCCCAAGGGCAACGGCTACCTGGCCGTCTACGGCTGGACCACCAACCCACTTGTCGAATACTACATCATCGAGGCCCACGGCGACCACCACCCCTCCGACAACCCCGAGGCCAAGATCAAGGGCAACGTCACCAGCGACGGCGGCACGTACGAGATTATGACCAAGCGGCGCGTCAACAAGCCCTCGATCCAGGGCACCGCGACGTTTGACCAGTTCTGGTCGATCCGCACCGAGGGCCGCGTCGGCGGCACCGTGACGACCGGGAACCACTTCAAGGCGTGGGCCGATGCGGGGCTGAAGATGGGGAGGCACAATTACATGATTGTCGCTGTCGAGGGGCAGGACAGCTCGGGCGAGGCGACCATCACGGTCGGGGTGCCGCCTGCGACGACGGCGGCGGCGGTTGGGGGGGTCGCGACGGGGGTGGTGGGGTGAGATATATGGTTGGGCCTAAGGGGGTATCTGAGTTGGTGTCGAGTTAAGCTCAGGGGCGTTGCCAAGGCAACGAATAGGGGGGGGCATTTCGTCGTTCAGCGTTCATGAAAGATCGAGGCTAATTTGATTTGATATATTGCCAATAGCCATTGGCGGATTACTGCCCTCTTTTTGTTCGCCGCTTCCTCTTCAATGCTGAGAGCATTGTGACATCACTGCTGTGCGCCAGCATCTGAGCGTTGGAATGCCGCTCGAGTGCCGCAAGTGCGACCAGGGAGACAGTTTTCGTGCGAAACATACATACATATTGGCGCGACACAAAGACGGCCCTCCCAATAAAAAGGGATGGTTCAGAGAACTCCCCGGGGTTGTGAGAGGACCTGCCACGGGAGAAAAAATCCCATCCAGGTCCAAATGGCAGGAGGACCTGCTGCTTGTCCCGTCGAGGATCAGAGACTGCGTCACCGACAACAGACAGTCCCTCATTTTGGCCCATGATCGCTCAAGGTCTCTTACACCATCATTGCTTCTCTCTCCATTTCTTGTGTCCGTCTCCAAGAGTCTGTGACACCAGTCACTCTCCTCCGAGAGCGCGACGATGCGGACCCCACCGCGAGTCCGGATTCTTCTGGCCATCGCCGCCGGCTTGACGGCGACAACGTGGATAGTTGCCCGTCTGTTGGTGTTCAAGCAGATTTTCTTCCAGCATTCGGGCCTCGCCATCACCCAGACGCAGGTCGCGGAACTCTATGACGGCGAACTAGAGACCCGGCCGCAGTTGATCCCCAAGATCATCCACCAAGTCTTCCACAACTGGCACGACCCGGGCGACGATACCCTCCCCTCTGACTGGCAGGATGTCCGGCAGACTTGCATCGACACGAACCCTGACTGGGAATTCAACGTGCGTGGGCCATGCTTTCCGTCACGTTCGCCGTAGCTTACCACGCGAAACAGCTCTGGACCGAAGAGGCCTCGCGCAACTTCATCGAGACGGAATACCCCTGGTTTCTCCGAACCTACGACCGATACCGATACCCCGTCCAGCGCGTCGATGCGGTCCGATACTTTCTTCTCATGCACTACGGCGGCATCTACCTCGATCTAGACAACGTTAGTGTCCTGCCCACAACAGACAAAACATCGCATGCTAACCCCCCCCAGGGCTGCAAAACAGACCTCACCCCCCTTCTATACTACCCCCTCTGGGTCACCGACGGCGGCCGCGGCGCGCTGAGCAACAACATCCTCGCCTCCAGACCCCACCACCCCTACTGGACACGGATGACGTCGTCGCTCATGCGCTGGGACATCAACTGGGTCTTCCCCTACGTGACAATCAGCTACGCCAGCGGCCAGTGGTTCGAGACGGCCATCTGGGAGGAATACCACGCGCTGCTGCCTCGTCCGGAGGAAAACGCCGGCGGCGTCGAACACCGCTTGTACCGCCTCATGATGGACGACCGGGAGGGCGCGGACCCCTGGGTCTTTTTCACGCAGGCGCGCGGGGGGACGTGGGTCAACTGGGATAATCGACTTTTCTTGCTGATTGGTGACCATCTGTTTGTCGTGCTGCTGCTCGTTGTTGGGAGTGTTGGGCTGGGGACTTGGGTATGTCTCCGGATTGCTAGGGGGCGAAGTGGAGGGGCATATCGTCGGTTGCATGATGAGGCTTGAATGTGTATCTAGCGAACGTGAAGATGGATATCGTTGAGAGGCTTGTCTCTTCTTTGAGGGAACCGCTCAGAAGATGTGGTTACCAACTGAGCGATGGTGCATGTTGGAATCGGTTGGTGGCAAGCTGGGCCAACATAGAGGCAAAGACATCCACTCCAGCTTTGGGCCAACTCAGATGACCAGAGGTGATGATGCGGCGTATGATGGAGCTGACTGTGGCTTTCTCACGGACACTGCCATCGGGAAGTCCAGGGGGGGACATTAAGGTGCTTTTGATTTGGACTTGGATGCCTTGAAGCAAGGGAAAACCATGCAGTCTGAATAGTGAGGAAATGAGTCGCTTGTGGATAGCCAGGAGAAGGGTGCAAAAAAATGCAAAAAGAATCGACCACGATGGGACTCGAACCCACAACCTCAGTCTGAACCTCTGATTAGGAGGACCACACGCTACCATTACGCCACGCGGCCGTCTGATTCGTTGATGGTAGTGCACTCAGTTTTTCTGCTTGAGTATGGCTGAACTGAAACATTCTCAAGTCGATGTTGAGGAAACCCGACCAGATGTTAACGCTTCGATGCGACCAACAGCAGGTGGATGGATGTACCAACACGTCCCGAGACTCCAATCCAACAAGCTTGGAAGGCAAGACAGGGACTTTGGCAAGTTTCGAGGCGGCTTGTTGCCGACACTCTGTTCCCAAATCCAGCAACCAATCTCGATTTCGTTTGGGGCATGTTTGGACTCTGCAAAACTAAATGGACATCGCCTCGGCTGCCGTTCGGGATGCTCGCCAAAGACAGCTCAGGGGGAGATTCAAGGGAATGTGATGGACCCCATCTTCGGAGTTGACATCCAAAAGCTGTCTGTGATACTGGGTGCATGTTTCGTGGCGGGTCCTCGATCCTCGTTGTCGTCCCGCCTTGCCGCCGTAGTCCGGGGATCCGAGTGCCGACTCCATGATCGAGGAGAACCAGAAGGGGGTCTGTCTGTCCGCGTGCCCTTTGAATTTTACGTGGACCGACCCTCTTTCCCTCTGCTGTTTCGCCCAGACTTGACGTTGGTTGATGAAAAGATGAAGGCGGCAGCGTGGCCCAGCAGGCGTCGTTGCCCGCTTCCAACTTGCACGCGCCTGGGCGTCTTGGCCCACCACCAGGCGCCCCCGTTCTTTTCGCCGTGACTTCTCCCCTTCATCAAACATGCGGTTCTTGTCCAAATGCCCACCCGATGACGACAAACTGCCGTTCAATGCTCTCGAAATTGACCTGACGACACTTCTCGACACTACCGTGCCGTTCTCGCCTCTCCTAGCTCTCGGCTGTCGATATTGCGAGAACCTTGGCCTTGGGTCTCCCGCAGCAGAGGAAGCGACTCGAGACGACTCGATGACCTCGAGCTAGGAGCTGTCAGAGTCGAGAATAGCCACGGCGATGGCCTGCCCGCTGTCGCTTGCGAGTTCGCCACTCGTGGCCCTCCATGAGGTCTCATTTACCTGAATGGCACGTCTCCGTTGAGTGAAACACACCGTTGCACTTCCCCACAGAAGGTCGCGGGGAGGTTCAGACTCGGTGCGACGTTGACGACGCCTTGCCCAACAGAGATCGGAAGAGCCTCCGAACCGCCCTAATCCGGCACGTACCGCCGCCTTCAACGTCGTCTTGCGCCTTGGGCGTGGCCGACCGGGAAAGCCATCACGCCCTGCCCTGGTTGTCATCGTCGTCGACGCGTCCCGCCCAGTCCCAGCCCTCGTCGACCCCCCTCCACAAGTCCACACTGGTGGCTTGCGGCTCCCCAAGATTGCTTGCCGATGCGCGCCGGGTCCTCCAAGCCGGGAGGCATCCCGATATCTCCTTTTCTTTCCACAACGAGCCCGAGCTGATGCTACCGTCGAGCCTTGGGTAGCCCTCGCATTAACCGTCACATGTTCGGTCCCAAGGACACCCACCTCCCGGATCTTGACCATCGACGTCCACCAACTTCCACAATCCAAGGGATGTCACCTCACCACCAGCCGTCACCGCAGAGGCCTTCCCCGGACTTGCCGTTAGCCCGCTTCTGGACGTTCCGTTGCATGTCAACTTCTGGGGGACTAGCATCCCCGCGTGGAGATCATGATGTTGCTACCCTGCCGGGGGGCTAACGGGTGCCAGAATGATCAAGTCCACGGTTCGGTGATGTGAAGTGCTGGTGTATAAAGGGAGCTGGATGTCATCGAGAGGAAATCTTCTCTTCACTCCCACCAGCCCTCCAGCTTCAAGCCATCAGTCCTTCGCTCTTGATCCTCGCTGCCGCCACACGCTCCCTTTTTACCCTTCCAGACCCAGCATCAAGCATCATGGCTCCCAAGGCTTCCACCCTCCTGGCCGCTCTCACCGGCGCCGCCGCTGTCAGCGCCCACGGTCACGTCAGCCACATCATTGTCAACGGCGTCCAGTACCGCAACTATGACCCGACCAGCGACTTCTACAACCCTGGCACCGCCCCCAAGGTCATCGGCTGGAGCGCCCTGAACCAGGACAACGGCTTCATCGAGCCCGGCAACTTCGGCGCTGCCGAGATCATCTGCCACAAGGGCGCCAAGCCCGGTGCCGGTCACGCCACGGTCGCCGCCGGCGACAAGATCAACATCGTCTGGACCCCCGAGTGGCCCGAATCCCACGTCGGCCCGGTCATCGACTACCTCGCCGACTGCAACGGCCCCTGCGAGACGGTCAACCCCGCGTCCCTGCGCTTCTTCAAGATCGGCGCTGCTGGCTACTCCAACGGCTGGGCGGCCGACGCCCTCCGCGCCAACGGCAACTCGTGGCTCGTCCAGATCCCCTCGGACCTCAAGCCCGGCAACTACGTACTCCGTCATGAGATCCTGGCCTTGCACGGAGCGCCGAACGTGGGGGGCACCCAGGCCTATCCCCAATGCATGAACATCCGCGTCACGGGCTCGGGCACGCGCTCGCCCGCCGGCGTGGCCGGCACCTCGCTCTACCGCGCCAACGACGCCGGCATCCTCTTCAACACGTACATGTCGCCCGTCGTGTACCCCGTCCCCGGCCCGGCGCTCATCTCGGGCGTCCCCTCGTCGGTCGCCCAGAGCCGGTCGGTGGCCACGACCACCGCCTCGGCCACGCTCCCCGGCCAGGACAACGGCGGCTCCCAGCCCCAGCCCACCACCCCGCCCGCCGTCATCACCACCCCGGGCCCCGTCAACCCCCTCCCCACGACGCTCTCGACCCGCGCCTCGGCCACGCCCACGGCCTCGGCCCCGTCCGCGGAGCAGACCAAGTGGGGCCAGTGCGGCGGCAACGGCTACTCGGGCCCGACGGCCTGCGTGGCCGGGTCCGTGTGCAACAAGCTCAACGACTACTACTCGCAGTGCATCTAAGCGTGGCGGGAAAAGGCATAGAGGACGGGATGGAGGGCATTGCATTGCATAGGTAGCGAGAAGCACGGTGGAGGGTTCTTCAGATGTATATATTCTGGCACACACATATAGTCGGCCGCATTTTTCTGGATCATGTTATGTTGCATGACGAATGGTACATACCTTACTTTCAACTATCAAGCGCTCTCGTGACTTTGTGCCCCTGAATGTGTCTGGTGGGAGGAGTAACCTCGACAGGTGGAATCACGGCTGGTTGTGCGCATGTCCTCTGATATCGTAGGTGGCAAGGGGCTATTGGATGCCCCTGAACAGACGCCAGAATGATGTTTTCGGACAAAAGCCCCTATCTTGCCTCGCTTTGCAGTGGATGTGGTAAGGGCCGACCATTATCGTGTTACCAATGCATGCATGCGCATGCTTGTATTTAGGTCTTTGGGTCTCTTTGGGTTATGACCATTTTTACTTTGGTACCTAGGGTGTAGATGAGGCACGAATCCTCTACAGTTGTCAGGGCTAGTTGTTGACAGAGAATACCAATTCAGGGGTAGCTTCCATCCCTCACCGACCAACTTCGCCTCGCCTCGACTCAAACCAACAGAGAAATCATATTCCAAGGGCATGGACTCGTCTTTGTTATATCTCTTATTTCCCGTCTATCAGCCGCCGTCCCGCCTCCACTCCGCCTCCGTGTCCAGACACCGAGGGGCACTCCGCGTTCGTAAAAGGAGTGGATATCATCATATCGAAAAAAAGGTATACCTCGTTCCAAATTCATGAGCGGGGAATCATCTCGTTTTGTTTTCCAGTCGTCATTGCCCTCGTAACCACAGGCCGCACCCGCACACTGTAGCATCACGCCCGCCGTCCACCCGTGCCACCAAAACGCCGCCGGTTCAACCTTCCCAACAGAAATCCACCCCTCCCCACCATTTTTTACCTCTCTCTGTCCGCTCCGGCGGCACCTAGTCATCTCCCAATCCTCAAAACTCCCCGTCACCTCCCCCGGCCAGCAACGCAGTCGACCACAGCCCAACCAGGCCCCACGCACTGACCTTCCATCCGCGCCAGAGCCCGTCCAGGCCCTGACCACGCCTGTACACCGCCTCGGACACCGTCGCCGGCTTTCCTCTCCTCGCGGCCGCTCTCTTGGCCGCGGCCGTGCTCGCGGCCGGGGTGACCACGTGTGACCCCTCCTCGTAGACAATGTTGTACATGGTCGAGAAGACGCCGCTGTATCCGCCGACGGGGACAATCGTCTCCAGCTGCTCGCCGCCCAGCCTCTTGCCGGCGGCGGGAGTGGCCGGCTCGAGGGCGGCGAGGTGCTCGGGCGTGCTGAGGACCGCGACCTGGCCGCGCCGGAGGACGGTTTCGAGCGGGAGCTTGATGAAGAGGGCGACGGCCGAGGAGCAGATCTTGGCGAGGGAAAAGGTGACAGGGGCCGTCTCGCGGTCGATGTGGAACTGGCTGCGGAGGACGAGCGGCGCCGAGAGGGTGAGGATCGGGTGGACGAGGGAGTGCAGGATGGTGGGTACGAAGAGGAGGGGGTGGCAGATGTAAGAGGGGAGGTTGCGGATGGCGGAGAGGGTTCGTCGGCCGCCGCGGGCGGTGGATGTGATGACGAACCTGGTGTGGTGTTAGCTGGGTTGCACCGAACCAAGGAAGATGAAAGGGGAGGGGTTCCCTACCGAGTGCGGATAAGATCCAGGGGCGCGAGGATCAACCCTGTGGTGACCGACGCGGCGGCGGCGACGAAGAGAGAGGCCCAGGGGTATGGGGACGCAATATCGATCAGCCGCTCCATGTCGTTCTTAACGCCGAGATCCGGCACGTTGAACACTGCGCTGAGCAGACTCCGCGAGAAGTTCTCGAGCAGGGACTGCAGCACCGAGTAAAAGAATGTGGCATTGGCGCCCTTCCACACGCCCCAGGCGCTCTCCTTCTGCCACAGCTGGGCGATGACCTCGAGGATCGAGTCCGGCGTCCGGATGTACAGCTGATGGGCGGGGACCACCTTGGGTACCGCTGGTCGCGGCGTTTGCGCGGGCGTGGGTTGCCGTGGGCGCTGAGACCGGGGATATGAAGGAGTGGGCG